CATGGGCGTCGTGAGTGTCGTATCGCACGTGTGAGTGCAGTAGTATTGTTAATAGCCCACGTTCGATATTTTAAAATTCTAACATCACTCCGAGACTTTCTGGTCATATTTCTATATTTGGTTTATTTCTTTGCGCTCAAGCTTCTTCTGGCAATTGCGAGACAATAGAGTCCTGAAAAATTTGCAATTTTGTCCACAAAGCATCGAAGTCATGTTAGAATTTCACTATATCGAACGTGGGCTATTTTTAAGGGTTGGTTAAGATGGGTGAAAAAGGAGACATGGAGTCATGGTGGACGTTGCTTGGTTCACCGAATAGCGAACGCGCACAACTACCAAAAAAACGTATGGTCTTGGAGCAACCTCTCCATAGTGATAAAGTTTGAAAGACTGGAAACTTCACTCTGTAAGTGACGTTTCATTAAATATGCACGATTTGCCCGCTAAGAATCAGTGAACCGGAATTGGGAACAACTTGTTGGATAATGAAAGCGGCAGGAAATAGAACTTGCATCATTACTTTCACCAATTTCAAGTCACAGGCTACTTAGCTCTTGTTCCCTAGAATACGTCTCTTAGTATTTTTGTCAACCAATCAAAAAGCAAGATCTTCATCGACCAAGAATAACTAAAATACCTCTCCAGCCGGTTAGTTTTCCTAAAAATAGCACATGAATGAGATTCCCTGCATTTTATTCATGAGATAAAGACAAGGTTATGACGTCTTTGGCTTTAATGCATTCCTCCGCAAGTTAATAAGATTCCCCTGTAAAAAACGAGTAAAACATGTCTACTATATTACTAACGTAAGGATCTTTCCTCTGCGTCTGTCTGAAACGACTCTGAACGTAATTGCGAGGTTGGAGTTCTGAGAATCTCGAGTATTACATAGAAACACTTATCCAAACCAGATCTGTATTTGATCGGCTGAACGACTGTATCAAGTTCCACGCAAACCCGGGTTCAGAGTCAAAGTCGCAGAACACTTGGAAAGATTGATTGCTGTCATCAATCACTGTGTACAATCCAGTCTTTATTTCTTCCCCAGCTTTGTAGGCCTGGCAGCTTTCTGTACATGTTCCTCCATTTTGACTAGGATTGTTCTTGCAACAGCCATTAATACACGTGACGTCACCATTACATGACTTTAAACTATGACTCTAAAAGTTGGAATAACAATGATTCTAAAATTGTATGAGACTAATCGGGATACACGAGGAAGCGCCTTAATGTTTTATAGAAAACCGTGCTTATTTTTTGAATCATTTTAATTGAAATACAAAATGCACTTATTTGTTGTTTTTAATTTCACCTGTTGCCAGGCTAAACTAATACAAGTCGGTATCCCAATATGACGCATTCGAGCACACAAAATACAACAATCCAAACAGGAATTAGGCTCAATAAAAACACGGCTTTCTTAAGTGATAGGGTTTCTCTCAGTTAGCAGGACAGTGCACATTTTTGCGCGCATTAGATCATATAGTTAAACGCTATTTTGCGCCTTATTAATTATTATTATTTTTTTACTGTCAGATTCTCTTACACCAAGGGAATAATGTTCAAACAATGCTTTTTCTCAGCAATTCATGCTCTTGCTCAGATACTTGTATTAGTCACTTAGCCCAAAGTAACAGTAGTCTGTTTTGACTATAATCAGTTAGTGACTTTACTTCTGAATCGTACGTAAAATAGGAAGTAGAATACTACGCACTATTATGCACTAAATCTATTACATTGTAAGAGGCTCAATCATTCGTTCCCGCGCTACATGGTTTGAACAAGGGGAAAGAAACAACAAGTATTTTCTAAATCTGGAAAACAGAAATAAGAAAAAAAGCTGCATACGAAAACTTATTCGAGCAAATGGAGAAGAGACTACTGTTCCGGACACTATTATGACTGAAATTCACAGTTTTTATTCTGAACTTTATGACGAAAAGGGAATACAAACTGACTATTCGATTTGTCCTTTTCTGGAAGATACCCTCTCATCTCCTAAGTTAACCGACTCAATGCGGGAAACGTGCGAGGGTCAATTAACATATTCCGAATGTTTCAAGGTTCTGTCTACCTTTAGTAACGATAAAACTCCTGGAAACGATGGCCTCACTATAGAATTTTACAAGTTCTTCTGGTCAGAAATCGGAACATTTCTAGTAGACTCATTAAATTATGCGTATTTTCATGGTGAATTATCACATTCGCAAAAGCAAGCCGTAATAACTTTAATTGAGAAAAAGGACAAAGATAGGAGATGGATAAAAAACTGGAGACCGATTTCCCTGGTAAATGTTGATGTTAAAATTGGCTCAAAAGCTATCGCTAAAAGGCTAGAAAATGTCCTACCACATATTATCCATTATGACCAGAATGCCTTTGTAAAAGGACGAACAATTTTTGATGCAACTCGTACGATAACCGATGTGTTGAATTTACTAAAATGCGAGACTACCAAGGTATAATGACTGCAATTGATTTTGAGAAAGCCTTCGATTCTCTAAATTGGAACTTCCTCCACAAATCGCTAGAGTTCTTTGGCTTTGGAGAATCCTTCTTGGGGTGGATCAAGACGTTTTATAATAATATATCAAGTTGTGTTTTCAATAATGGTTTTTCCACCCCTCTTTCAATGTTAAACGGGGTGTTCGCCAGGGCGACCCACTCTCGCCATCTCTTTTCATAATAGTACTTGAATTATTGGCATTATCCATACGTAATAACGATCAAATTAAGGGTATTGAGGTGGATGGTTCCGAAATCAAATTAGTTATATTCGCTGACGATATGACATCATTTGTTAGGGACAAATTTTCGCATCGCACCCTTTTTTGATACTATCGATCTGTTTAGTACATACTCCGGATTGAAGGTCAATCACAACAAAACGGAAATTCTTCTACTAGGAAGTATGGAAGTAAACAGCTCAGAACTAGGTGTTAATGAAATAAGTAAGGCCATAAAGATCCTAGGGGTTCATTTCACCTTTAATCACGCACTGTTTTATAAGCTTAACTTTGAATCAATCGAGAAATCTCTGAGGGGATTGCTGAAGAGCTGGAGCTGGAGAGGTCTTACACTACTTGGAAAAATTCAAGTGATCAAGTCTTTCGCCATACCAAAGATTTTATACAGGGTTGTTCTCATTTCAAATAAAGAAGAGTTTATCAAAAAAAATAAATACTTTGCTATATTCCTTTGTTTGGAAGGAAAAGATAAAGTAAAGCGCAGAGCTTTTATTAACCCTATTGATAAAGGAGGCTTGAAAATGCCTAACATTGAGTCCATGATCTCTGCCCAAAGAATAATTTGTATTAAGAGATATCTCTCCATTGACCCCGCTGGCTGGAAGTTTTTTCTGGATTTTTATCTTAAGAAAGTAGGGGGAAAATTCTTGTTTCATTGCAATTTTAACTACACTAAACTACCGGTAACTCTTCCAGAATTTTACAAAGAATGCATTGTGGCGTGGACCCTTTTAAATGAAGACAACCCCTCCTCATCCTCTGAAATAGCAAATCAGGTCATATGGAACAACCAGTTTATTTGTATTGAATCAAAGTCAGTCTATAACAGTAGGCTGATTGATCTTGGAATTGTAAAAATTGGAGACCTCTACGACACGTGGGGAGGTTTCAAGTCGAACAAGGAACCATTATATTCAACTCTCTCACCAGTTGAACATTTTCTACTTTTCAGTCTCTTCAATGCTTTTCCTGAAGAATGGCGCAAAATATTAAAAACAAATAAAAACTCTATCTCTTCAAAAACTCATGATCTAATCCAAACTGATTTCAAGTTACGTATTGAAGGGAAAAAAGTCAATTTCCAAAATCTTAAATCAAAGTCATTATATGACAGTTTTGTTTCTAAGATATCCAGTATACCAACAGCGCAAAAGAAATATAACGAAGCTTTCAGCACACACACATTTCAGTTGGACTGGGAAAAGATATATCTACTGCCCTTCAAAACAACATTGGATACTAAATTAAGAGAATTCCAATATAAAATATTAAACAGGATCTTATACACGAACAAGATGCTGTTTAAGTTCAAAAAAGTAGATTCTCCCTTGTGCGATTTTTGTGAAAAGGAGTTGGAGACCATAGAACATCTCTTTTTCCATTGTACAAAAGTAAGCATGTTTTGGAATGATTTAAAGTCTGTACTTGATTCTTTTAATATAACTATTAGATTTGATATCATGAATGTCCTTTTTGGGATCCTAGATACAGATAATATAAGCATTCTAGTCAATTACATCATTCTTGAAAGCAAATATTTTATTTACCGCTGTAAGTTAAATAAGGGCTGTTTATGTGTAAGACTGTTAGTCGATAAATTTAAAAAAACGTTTCAAACCGAACGTTTTATTGCGAAAAGAAACAACAAAATCCATTTCCATGATAAAAAATGGAAGCCGTTACTCCCATTAATACAACAGTAGCCGTTATCCAAACTTCGTTTTTCTAATACTCCCTGTATTACTCTGTATTTTAAGTTCAAGTTGAATAAGTTATGTAAGCCTTGTAGTGTAGTGCAGTGTAGCTTTTTATTTATTTATTCTATTTTCTATTTTTTTTTTTTTTTTTTTTTTTTTTTTTTTTTTTTTTTTTTTTTTTTAATTAAGGTAGTTTTTGTAAATTTTGTAATGTTTGTATTTTTCGATCTGTATGTTGTTTGTACTATACCTGTAAAAAGAAAATAAATAAATAAAATACAAAAAAAAAAAAAAAAAAAAAAAAAACTAAATCTATTGTCTTCTTTTGTTTGCCTCTTACTATTTTGTACTATTTGTTAGTATTTCTTTCAGGTTCAAGTAAAATCACTCTAATATCTTTTGGCTGAATTCCCTGTCAAAGTTGTGGTAACGTGACCCCAGGGAATGTTTAAGAGAGCGCGGGTTGTAAAGTGACTACCCCTCATTCAACTCGCATTCAACTTCATTCAATAACTTTCCTTCGTTATTTTCCTTGTAGTTGAACGATTAACACCGATCAGTCATCTACATACCACGAGTAGCACTGAATTGGTTTGATCGTGGCAAACGCGTGAAAAGCGTGGCCAACTAACTCAGAGTTTCCCAGGGCATCTCCGCAGATATAAAGAGAATAAGTTTGGCATTTTCTACACCGGTCATTAGCTTTGACGACCCGAAAATGGAGGAGTGAAATCATCAATAATGTCGTTACATCCATTTCGTCGACCTTCTTGTGCTACTGAGGACTGTTCATGTTAGAAAGATACTGCACGTGTCGTCTTTCATTTTCATGTATAATTTTAATATAACTTCAGCTTGCTTAACACGCATCATTTACACGATACTTAGACCTGATAATGTACCTGACTCTAAAGTACCTATATATTGCAAGAGTTTCTTTTTTTTATTGACTAGTTTTAGCAGGTACAGGAGTTAACTAAATGTGCACCTAATTTTTGATGGTTAGACATAGAGGCGTACATAGGACAGCGTCAAGCACATTCAATCATGCACCGTCTTATTTATTTGAATAGATTTAAATAATTAAAAAATCGTGTTATAGAAACACGCGGGAGGTTGCTAAGCAAGAAAGTAGCGTAATTACGCCTCGAGCAACCTAGATTCTTATGTCTAGCTTATGTTAAAATTAATTGATTAACTGAATAATTACCAGCTACGTGTTGTCAAAACCCAACAGATTATCAATGCAAGGTTTGGGGAGCTCACCTAATTTATTTCAAGTAGACAACATGTGTACTATAGTAGCCATAACAAGAGTGTAATTACGTGAGTAGCGAAAGAATTGACTTTTTCCGTCTTAAAATGTATTTAATTGTAGACAGCAGCTTGTGCTCATTTCATCTGTTTTTCTGCTCCATTTTTAGGGGGATCCTTAGATTTTATCGTTAAACGAATCAATTAAAATATCCAGTTAATACTGAGCACGACTTTCTTTAAAAGCAATCTGACTTTATCAGTTAAGCATTTCATTTTGAGGCAACAGTGCTTTATATCACGAGGGGCGCGAGATTATATATTGAACAATACCTCTCTTGCATGTTTCAGTGGGATAAGATTATTTTGAACTATTGTACGTTTAGAAAATTAGTAGTCATATGTGCTGTGCAATGGGTTAGAGCTCCACTGCCATTGGCGGTTTATCATGGCAGACCTTGAAAACAACTGGCCAATTAACTCGGAGAAAATGACCTCATTAACGTTTTTGCCACCCAGCAATATCGCAGGTTTCGATTGCTGCTATTTCCTTTGTTATTGATTACAAAGAGCTAAGACTTGTACAATCTACTCAAATTGACCAGCTCTTTCAACTTTTGAACCTAATTTGTACATTCGGCCTCGTCAGCAAGGATTCACCAATCGTAATGGTGGAAGTTCATACGTTTTAGAGTTCAACGTTCACTGAATGTTAACTAAATAATTTTCGTGACACTCCCCCATGCGTTAGTCTGTTCCTTTTCAAAATCATTTGCTCTTTACCTAATAACTGCAGCATGAAGCATTTTTACTAAGGTCAATAATAGGGGAGCAAGGGTGGCGCAGTGGTGAGAGCACTCGCCTCCCACCAATGTGACCCGGGTTCAAATCCCGGCGTCGACGCCATATGTGGGTTGAGTTTGTTGTTGGTTCTCTCCCTTGCTCTGAGAGGTTTTTCTCCGGGTACTCCGGTTTTCCCCTCTCCTCAAAAACCAACATTTCCAAATTCCAATTCGACCAGGAATCAGGTAGACGAAGAACCACTATGTGGATGTGCTACCTGCAAATCGTTATTTATTTTATTTATTTATTTATAATGTAAACTTTTAAAGATGCTAGAAAGGGTTCTGGTTTTGACTTAAGCGTAGACAGTGGGAACAAGGGATAAGAAGGGCAAAAAGCGATTTATTGTAAGCATTCAAACAGTAAAGAAGCTATGCACCAATGAACCAAGATCGTACATGGAATAAACTGTCTATGCGTTCTCCTCTTCAAAGGAATGAGGTGAACAGAATGCCACGACTTTACAAGGTTGGTTTTATTATGATTATAACAGGTAATATCACAATAAATTAGGGAGAGTAGGTAAGTGCATTTGCAAGTTTTAACACAGAGCGGTAGATACGTACTTTCTTATCGTTCCAAGGAGACAAAGTCTCTCAGCCACCTTTTAAGTTTTAAATAAAGTCTGTGCCAATCCACATTAAAAGATACCAAATGTTAACCCAAGATATATAATTCACAGTACATGTGATCTCGGCTGACTTGGGAATTTGGATGAACACTTCGTTCACACGGAACTGTTCAATATTTCTGCTCTGTTAACACAAAACTTTGAAAGGCTAGGCGTCTACATTTTTCCCTGTTTTAGGTGGTCCCGTGTAGCGGAACACATATATGCACAAAATTTCGAAAGGTGGAAAATTTGTCTGGTGCCGCCTGGGCAACGCCATAGTAGCAGTGTTAATGTTAAAACTAACATTGAACTACTCAATTGTGGGCCAAGGTTCAAGCCCTGGATTCACACTTTTGCCTTGAGCAAGAGACTTCACTACTGTTGCATCGAGGTTACCTCTGTGATGGACTACAGACTGTAGCATCCCATCCAGGGGGAAGTAGCGATATTCATACAATACTCGTCATAATACCTAATACCTTACACCTTCCCCAATGTTGATTCAAGTCGGTATTACTCATTTGCAGACAACGCGAGAGTCAACATTGGGAAGGAGGGAAGACCAAGTACGCACACAGGAAAGTTAGGCGAGTCGGTTGAGAAGGTGGACATTAAGAATTATCCAGTTTCTTCTAGTGTTTGAACAAAATTTAAAGACTCTTTTATATACTTTATGCTACAGAAACCAGGTTTCGGCTGTATGGGCCTCAGTTGTATGCGCTTTTACCTTTTTATAGTAGTACTGATGTGATCTCTAAAAACAACTTAACGTCGACTTAAATTATAAGTATCACTTGGAAAATTTAATTCTAGAGTTTTGATTGGCTCAGCCATCATGGTATATGGAGTAGTTAGATGTGACGTCACAAAAATTTGAATTAGTGGAATTATGGGATTGATCTTGAGATATTTACAAAAACTAGGATGAAAGCTGTTTTTTTTTTAATTTTTGCTTTATTTTTTTTTTACAGGCAGCTTTACTAACTATATAGGTTAACAGTAAACACAAGTGCCTACTTAACAAAAATACACACATCTACATCATCTACACGCCCACCCCACACCCACTCCCACACATATTTCTTTTCAGTTCCGCCAGTTTTACAAATTCCCATAGACTTACAACCAATATACAAATACATATTCAGAGATAAAGTAGCCTCATATGGTGTTAAAGTTCCATAAAAAATACTAATAATTATAATGATTTTATATGATGATGATATATGACGATTTTTACAGGAGTTATAGCAGTTATTGGAGTTTGATATGATGTCCCTGTGCATGTTAGGAGCTTATCCCATTTCTTGAAATGAAAGGAGGATTTATTTCTCTCTTTCGCTGTTCGAAGCTCCATTTCATAAACTGGTTTCACAATGAGGAACATCATCTCAAAACCCATAGGACTAATATGCAATTCCCAAACTAAACGCTATTTGATAACAAAGAACCTTCATCTGTGAGGCAAGCATACATATTACGACTAATAACAATAAGATATAAAACAGCGACATATACACAAGAGAATTACTAACACTTAGTGATGAGCTTAAAACAGCAGCCAGCAAAAAGCTGTTGATTATGCCGCTGATGAACTAGATCAACAAGAAATTGGGGTTTACCTCGGTGTAAGAACCTGTGAACTTTTTCTTTGTTTTGTACCTTTTGTTTTTCTAGGTTTTATTGTGTTGACTTCTTTGTTTTCTTTGTTTTACGTCACCGGTGAGTTTAACAGGTTCTTACACCGAGGATGAGCCAGAAATTGGCATAACTGTACTGGAATATTTGAGGAGCCCCAAAAGACACGTTTACATGCCTGCCATGTCCGATCCAGTCGCTCGAGAATTAATTGTTAATTCCCCGAAATTCAGCTGGTTGGAGCAAATTGGTGGTGAGAAATAAGTAACGTTTTGCTACGATGATTCCATACAAATCCTTCTGGAATTGACCTGGATCGTAAAAGGTACGCTTCAAGCCAATTTCAGAATTTGCATGGTATCATCCGGGCATAACGTTAATGTTTATGGATACTTTCCATCCTACCCAACCGACCGGTCAGAAATCATCGAAACAAACCAAAAGAAAAAAAAATATAGAACAACACTTTTCGCTTAAAACAAAGTTTCTAACTGGGCTTAAGCGTTCCCTTTACTTTTCGACCGAAATTTTGTTTCTCAGCGAAGTGGGAATGGAAACGAAATTTTTGGAAATGGAACGGTAGTTTCGGTCTGACCGGAAGGAAAATCTCAAGGGTAAACCACTTTTTCCGGAAAATTTCCAGCCGGACCGATCCGTTCCATTTATTATTTACCAGTGTGCAAGAAGTATGGTTATAGTCTAGACTCTTTACACCACCTCTTCCACAGTCTGATTATACCTCTTTTTACTTATGGCATTTCAGTATGGGGTGTAGCAAGTTATGACCCAGTTATAAGTATTTTTCTAAAATTGATAAGTTGCAGAAGAGAGCAGTTCGTTTTGGCTTTCTCAAGAGGCCACGTCCATTTTGAGCCTTCTAGAGGCCTTAGATAATAAGTTTTGGAAGAACATCACAAATTCTGCTGAGGGCCCTTTGGCAGATCTCCTTCCACCCAGTAAAACAACTTAACTAAGTAATCGTGGTGACTCCTATGTACTTCCTCAAATTAGGACTGAACGTTTAAACACTGTTTTATTAATTGGTGTCTTTTTGATTTTATTTAATTGTCAGTTGTAATCAGGAACGTTTGTCTTTGGAATCAATAAAGACCTTATTTTTAATTATTTTATATTTCGACCGAATTCTTAAGGCAAGCACCCACTAAATCACGGCCAATTTGCTTGAACAAACTGAATTTTGGTAAATGGACACTTTCTGATTATCCCAGCCGATCCAATAATTTCTCAAATTAAGTTTTCGTGACGTCATCACTTCTCTACTCTATCGGCGCATATACCATGCTAGCTTTTTATTTATGGTCTGCGTTAACTCGTCGTTCAAGACTGGAAGCATGTTAGCAATTATTGTGAACTAAGTCACAGGTTACCTTTTTTACTGGCCTCCCAACCAGAACTGAGTTGTAGAAAGAGAATTGTTCGAACAGCGATGCTGCGAATTTACAACCCCGTAAAAACCAAAGTTATCTTCGCTGTTAAGCGCACCTTGTTTGCCATTGAATTCGCAAAGGTGGAAAGACGTATCTGTGTGCAAAGGCCAAACGCCCTTATTTTGCCAGAGGGGCACCGTACAATCAACACATTCATGCCCCCTGATGTTTATAAATTCGAACTGAAAACACTGACCATAGAAATTTGTCGGCAAGGTCAGTACGTTGCAGTTTGCAAGGGATGTCCGCATGTAATCTGTGTACACAACTCCGTCGGTATCATAGCGACAGGTAGCTCGCCAGTGAGTAGACTGGGTCCCAAGCCATTCAAAGTAATTACGCCGGATCAGGTACGCATGCCAGTTTGGGTGATCGCCGCTGACTGCTTCAGTGTAGTCAGAAAAAAAGAATATTCTAGAAATAAAAATTATTTTATCTCTTAGCTGAAATCACCTCTGTCTTTGACCTCGTAATCTCGGTTATATTAAATTCTATCAATTTAACATTTTTATATATTTATTTACATATTTAATGTAATGCTGTTATAAAACCTGGTACAAGACCTGTTATAAGACCTGGTACAAATTCTGATACCATGAAGATCTCTCAAATCCTCTTTAAGGGGCATGGATCTGGTGATACTGTTGTGTACCATTTTCTTGGTTGTTTTAAAGATTTCATTGTGAGTTGCTTTTATGTTTCACCCGTGCCTAGAGTCTCGAGCTCGTTATGATTAGGTTTGTAGAGAAAGGTTAATGCGTATTTCTATCGACAGGTTTTTAAATTTTCTTAAATTTTAAAGCGGGTTTTCAACATAAGTGTCGTTTATTAAATATGAGTGTCAGATCTTGAAGTGGGCACGTTTTGGGATTATAGTTGACCTTGATTGTTACCTACATCAGAGTTCTTGTGTTCTTTTTTGTTTTTGAAGGTAGGGCCTCTTGGGATTAGTTGTCAAGCTGTCATTGCTTTTCCTGTACTTGACAAAGGTTTGCTTATTCCAATTGAATGATTAACAGTAAACTACTTTGAGACATTAGAAAGTGCGTTCGTAACTGTCATGGTCAGCAAGCCCGAACGTACTCACATTTTAGTTTTTTAAGTTGCCAGTATTTGGGGCAGTTGGTCGTTTAGCTGTAGAAGTTGATTTGATACAGAAAAAGAAAACATACGAGCCTCTGTGAAGAATAAAGGGCACCAACATGTAACAATACATCATGGTTTCCCTTTGACCTGTCAACTTAATGTATTTTACAATTTACCTGTTTTTGGGACAAGCTGAACGACTGGATCAAGTTCCATGCAAACCCAGGTTCTGAATCAAAGTCGCAGAACACTTGAAAAGATTGATTGCGGTCATCAATGATTTTATACAATCCAGACTTTCTTTCTCCTGCAGCTTTGTAGGCCTGGCAGCTTTTTCTTTTAAACTCACAGTGTCTACCCATAAAATTTGCTGGACAAGAACAATTGCACCGAACGTTCTTGGGCTCACATATTTCTGTGCATGTTCCTCCATTTTGACAAGGATTATTTCTGCAACAGCCATTGACTTCTGTAATTTCATCACAGGACGCAACGCAGTGTTTCTATGAAATTAAAAGAAAGTAATTGTGAAGTAGGCTCCGTTTATTGCGGCCCGCACTGGGCAGCTACCTATTTTTGTGGTGAAAGCATCTGAGATCTCTATTTGTTGTTTTACCAGTTCCTAGTCCCCGCCGCGTAACACCCAATCCAGCAAGGTTAAATGGAGGCCAAAATTTTTAATCTCAGAATTTTGTGAGGGATCTATGATTCTTTCTGAACACGCTTTAAAAGGAAATGGCGACAAACTTGTTAAAGAGTTTCTTAGCACTCTTGAATCTTCTTGGTTAGACATTCGTGACTTTTGTGCCGTGTGAAGTTGGTATTCTAGAGTCGGACGCATACGCGACGTTCAGTTTCATATTTTCCCTAATAAAGCAGCCGGTAAGTTACTCATTTGCTTGTCATGTCAGTTGTAAAGACAGGTAGGATAGGCTGCTTAGGGTTCGTCTTTAGCAATGTTGGATAATTGTTCAATATCTTGATCCCATTTCTTTACTTTCTTCGAAACATACCCATCTTTAAACCTTTCGCTAGCGATCACTGCTCCCATATGTCGTTCACACCTTGTGGATATTTTAATCCTACGCTTCCCGAATATCGCTTTGGCTTTCGCTTGAAACCTCTCCTTTACAATCAAGATGGTTTTACTTTCTTGAGGATAGTATCCATATTTTTGACCCACTGTGTAAAGTTGATCGCACCATGTTTTCATTTCAGTCAGTTGTCTCCCCTCTGAACTGTCATCCGCTTACCATGACTGCTTACACTTCTCTTGATCAACTACCTCCCCGAAGTTATCAATAAAGGGTCTGATGCCCAAGGCATATAGGGCCATAGCATTTACGCCATCTTGGGTGCAGCCTTCATTTGAGAAAATATAGTCATGCTTTGTAGAGTCAGCTATCACCATCTTAGCAGGCTTTTGGTACGTATGTGGTGAAGAGATACTGAAAGAAGGGTGGACACAACTGTTTGTTATTCTACAGTAATGCCTTTCTATTAAGTTTGTTGAATGCATTTTCAGCATCAACTAAAAGAATAGCTTCAGTGTCATCATCTTCAGAAACTTTCCTCATGGCGTGAATTGCTGACTCAATGTCTGCTTTCAGTCCTGAGCAAGTCTGTAAAGGCCCTACCGCTGTTATTATGTCCCCTTTGATAACCCCTACTACCAGTTTGCCTATTAGGCGTCTTAGAACTTCACCATCACCTATTGGTCTCACTCCAGGTTTACCTTCTTTCGTGTCACCTTTGTCTAGCGGAATTAGCCTGCATGCAATAAATTCAGTCAAACAATCTGGATCACATCTTCAGAGCATAAAACCTTTGCCACGTCAGCAATAGCCTGGCACAGTTGCAATGAGGCATTTCCAAACGATTTTGAGCAGAGAAAGTCTTTCCGTATGTCAGAGTCAATCATCGATGGCCCTCCCGAACAACTAAAATTTGTTGCTGTTTTTTTGCACTGTCTCACCAGTGGTCTCTTCAAATATCACGGATTGAACTTGCGTTGCTGATTTTGGGATTAAAACCTCTGCACCTTACATCTTGCATTTGGGTGTTACTCCGCCAAAATATTTTTGATTTCATCATTCAGTTGGTGGACACCTTTAATCGAGGCCTTATTGTTAATAAATTTGGTAGCTTGTAGCCTTCCTGTTGTAGTTCACTACTTTTTCTAACCAGGTGAATGGAGCAACGAGGCGAACAAATTGAATTACTATTGAGGTCATAATTTGCCCCGGCAAAGAGGGTAATAAAAAAAGCGATTCGCTTACCGAGGTGGATAAACTGACCTCATGAAGTAAAAGATTGAACACAGCAGAAACGAATATATACAATTTAGTGACAATTCACTAAATCGAAGATGCTTTCTAAAGGTTTTTTTTTAAATATGTCTTTGTGTATTTGTCAATAACATTGCAAACTGATTTTGGAGTATGCATTTTATATACAACCTTCCATTCTACAGCTTTTAGTTTGAAAACAGACGGATAATATATTAGTGAGATATATTAATGCTTGTTGTTATTGATTAAAATCTTTGGGAATGGCATTCCTTGCATTATACTCTGTGTTTGTTCGTATTTGAAACTAATTGTATAAAGAATAAGCAGGTTCCGAATGATAGTCACACATCAAAAGCTGAAGATAATAACAAACTTAAAAAAACATAAATCAACTTCAAAATCGTCCATATTGTATTTTATACATCATAGTCTCCCTTTTGTCTCGTCATAGATTATTTACTACCGTTCCAACCCCTTGATCTCTCTACATGGGCCCGCATTTCATTTCCAATATGGAACCTCTAGTATTCTTATAATAACATACAACTATTCCCCGAAGGGAAGGTGAATAGTGGTGGTGGATACATACCATGACGCGAAGCGTCTACAAATCTAGCGCTGTTTACCAACCCTGAGGGGGATAATATTTACCAAATCAGTTGGATACAAATGAAATAAAGAAACCTTTTTTGTAAATTAAAAACGTCACTTAGTAGGAAGTGTGTTTACAATTTACAAACACTTCGGCGATTTTTTCAAGTGCGTTTTGACGATTTTGTTGCAAATTCAGCAAGAAAATAATTTTCTACCTTCCAGTAAACACCGACAAGCTGAAGTTCGTCGCTTTCTTGGTATTTGTTTGTACGCTGCTTCATTTTATCGCTCAAATTTCGTCTTTCAAAAAATTTCTCGAAACGAGACGCCATCTTGGCTTCGGTCGCAGAACAGTGAATAGCCAAGGGTATTTCGAGTTATTGTTTCCGATCATAACGCGCGAAAATTGCTATTCACTGATCTGATTTTGATTTCATTCGATCGGGACAACTTTTGCGTTCGCCGTATTATGTTTTTCTTTCTATCGGGCCCGGACTAAGAGTTATGTGTAAATCCTAGCCGTTCATTATGCTTCACGGTCTCCAAAAGAATACTATAAGCTCCATTTGTTTTCTTTTGGGCAAGACCTATTAAGCCATTTAACCATTTCGGCTACAAGTATTGAACAATAGATTCCTAAATCTGCACAAAACAAGAATTATGCGATAAAATGAGAAATGTCTGATAGACTTTATACACTACAAATTATTAACGTTACGACAACTTACACGGGCTCGAAAAGCTATTAGCCTGTTGATAAAAGAAACGAGAACTCTTTCATATTCTCTCTCTTCTTTCAGCGAAAATTTAAAAGAAAATGTAAATAGACGCATCAAATTTCATTCAAGTGGTATTCTGGGCAGGAATCATGGAAAAAGTAATATTCAATAGAATATGTGCAACAAAAACAGTTCAGTTTAATTCCTTAGGAAAGGACATTAAGGCAGAATGTAATACTAACGCAAAATTCAAAGGGTATGCATTGACACAAATTAGTATATAAGCACTCAGTGATCTTGGTAATTCAAGCAATCTGATTGGCTCGCTATCTCGGACTATGACGTTTAGTAAAGTCCAAGTAGTGGTCTATTAGCAATGCTGCGTTCTGATTGGTTGAGCTACTACTAGGCTATAGACCGTATTCATAAATGGCGGCCGCGCGGAATGACCTGGTTTTTTCGAATGCATGAAAACGAGGCTTGGTAGGCCATGGTTACAGATCACTGATCACAACAAGAATGGCGTCCTCTAGTACAGCTTCGACTGATACTGTGATTCTTACAGAAGACGATATTCCTGGAGCTTCTTTGGCTGGTAGAAATCCTTCTTCACTTAAGAATGAAGAGCTCAAATTTTGGTTACGTTGTCGAGGCGATTCGCTTAAGGGACTAAAGACGAAAGCACAGCTCGTAAAACGGTAAGTACGCGTTCACAGCTTCCCGAGATCACAATAAATTCTGAGAGTACGCGTGAAATTGAAAAATATTTCTTGATTATATTGCAGAGTCCAAGAGTATATTAAAAACGGAAGAGATACTATGATGGTCGATCCTGATCCGGATGAAATATACACAAAAAGAAAGGCGAGGGTCTCGAATCTACCAAATGGCGCCGCTCCTGTCACATCAAGTGTGAAATAATATTTATAATCCGAGCGATGGCTGGGGTAAGTCGCTCGAAAGGATGCCGTCTTTTACGAGGGCAGAAATGAATCAGCACGTGGCAAATTCAGGAAAACGAGTCGCAAATGCTGAGTACCACTCGATCCCGACGAATTTAAGGAAAGCGAAAACATTTCTGCAGGACGAGTACCTGAAAGAAATCGAAGCCAACAGCGATCAGAGGTATTTTTATTTGAAAGCAAAGTGCTTTCATAGTTTCAAGAAGAGTGAAGCTCCCCATGATCTTCGTTTTGCTATGTGCATTGTCTCAGGCCAAGTCACACATGCCAACTGCTCATGCAAAGCTGGCAAAGTGGGATATTGCAACCACGTTCTTGCATTGATGTTCAAAGCATGCAAGTTTAGTTTATTTGACAGTAAAAGCACCGATGATTTGTGCCAGGATGATGATGAATTGCCTGATCTTGCCTGTACCTCACAGCTCCAGAAATGGCACAAAAAGGGTCGAGGGGACAAAATATCTGCCCAACCAGTAATGGAAGTCACCGTTACTAAGACTAAACTAGATGAGGCAAGGTGCAGAGATGGAGTGAAATGCTTGATATATGATGCAAGATGTAAACCCGAGCATGACTTTCAAGGTGAAATGAACTTGAAAAAGGCTCTTGAAAAAATAAATCCTCAAATGGGTTTATCAATAATGGCAAGAGAGGATTCTTCTCTCAGCAAATGTGTGGAGACGAAGTTTGGCAAAAGTCAAATTGGCTCATTTTGTAGCTACCAATTGACTCATACTGAGGCAAACTTTGTGGCTACCATTGACATTTCATCTGTACCAAGAAATGACATTGGTGAAACTGAACTGACTTATCCCAGGTTCCCGCTAAACTCGAGTAGTGATTTTGTATGGCCTGACAACTTGACTGTGTCTGAAAAGGCACTCATCAGTTCTCTTGTGGTTGATGAAATTAAGTTCAACAATATTGAGGAAGCCACAAGAGATCAATCATCCTCAGAGCAGTGGAAGAAGGAACGAAAATTCAGATTCACTGCTTCAAAATTCGACCTCATCTCAAAAAGGCAAAGGAACCATGATAAGTTTGCAGTGGATCTCATTAATCCAAAACCATTCACCTCAAGGTATGTGGAACATGGCATAAAATATGACCCAATTGCTATCCAAGAGTATGAGAAAGTAATGTTCACACGGAAGACACCTATTAAGGTTTTCAAGAGCGGGTTTGTTGTTTGTCTGGACATGCCATTTTTGGGGGGCTCACCAGATGGCAGAGTTGTCGATTTTGGATGCCGGTATCATTTTGGACTTGCCGAAGTAAAATGTCCAGAAACAAAATTTCAAGTAACCCCACTAGAAGCCTGCCAAGACCCAATTTCTTTTGTGAGGATATCAATGGACAGTGTAAACTGAAAAGAACTCATGCGTACTTTGCTCAAGTGCAAGGCCAGATGGGTGTAAGTGGAGCATCATGGTGTGACTTCATTGTTTACAGAAAGAAGGGCATTTCTGTAGAGAGAATTCCATTTGATCCTGCCTACTGGGAAACTCTGAAGCTAAAGCTTCACACATATTACTTTAACCATTTTATTAAAACTGCAGCAACTGAGTTTGCAAAGTAATAATCTACCACTTCTACTTCTTTTTTCCCTTGTTCCTGTTTTATGATAATGACTATAAAACAAAGGGAATACAAATCAAACTAGTTTGAAAGCATTTTAATCAGAAATGCATTTTAATCTACAACAATGATGTAAACAGATGCTTGAGATTACATTTTATGTACTTTGTTTGTACTTGCATCTAGTTTACTGAATATTTCTTGTCAATTATTTTACATCTTTTATCAGTTGACCTATAAGCTCCAATCTAGTGATCAGCAGTGAAATTCTGCTGGTGAAAATATAAATAATGAAACAAACCCAAGTCTTGATAATAGAGATCAGCAAAGTTAGACCCAGGTTTTGCAAAGAATCTCTCTCAACTACAACACCACAACTACAGGAAGTGTAGGTAACCTAGGAGGGAGAATTTGTGATCATGGTAATCATTGGAGCTTAATAGGTTGAAAAGAGTTACAGTTCCAAACTTAAGCGTATCAGAATTACGATGGAGGGTTGTCTTAAGGCTATGGAGTAGTATGCCTAAGTATTTCAATCTTAAGGTTCATTATATATCAGTCTTCCTGAGTACCCAGTTGAGGTGATGAAGTTGGTAGCAATTTTTATATACAGCCAGGTGCTTTTGACATCCCTGTATTTTGAACTACAGCTGTTCCATGCTTATAATAGTGCTCAGAGCTTTTTTTTTTAAAAAAAATCACATGATCTATGGAAAATAGTCTTAAAATGTTTTGGAATACCTGGTGATATCTTTGGCTACACCACCTGAGGCAAACATGATTTCCCCTTAGTTTATAATTTTCTCCTTGTTAAAATACCTGCTTGCTTAATATGCTTGGGTAAATTAAACTTTCTGATTACTTTGGTTACTGACAGACCCTACAGTCAACAAAAGTTTTTGTTCGGGGCAGTTCCCTTTTCTGACCTTGAAAGATATTTTGCCTTAGTAGGTTTTTAAAGAGTAAATTCAGCTAGATGGGAAAATGTCACTTTTCTCAGGCAAACCTCAAATTTATATAGGTAAAGCTGCCTTTTTCAACCACAGCTAATGTAAGCAAAAGTTGTGTAGTAAGCACAATTTTGATTGTCAAACCATATAGGGATTTTCCAGTTAGCACAATGTCTCTTGACATAATCAATAAAAACTAAGGAAATGTCCACAAAATTAACTGTATCAAAATAATAAATGTATCTGTCAATGTTAAGCTACAGAGTGGGTGAGGGTGTTGACAATGTGGGATATTTTTATGTTTCATGCTGTTCCATGTTTTGGACTAATTCAAGATGGCTAGAAACAGTTTTCACTAATTTCCAAGACATAGATTTTGATGAGTCATTAGAACTACTTTATCTCAGTTGATGTCAAACTCATGGTATAAAAAAACTGCCCAGTTATTGTTGAGTAAGTTGCTGTTAATTTTGTGGCACAATAGGTTACCATAGCGATATCTACATATCAGAAAGTGCTGGAAACTGTTTCAAGCCACTTTAGGCACTAATGATTGGATCCTGCATATTGCACAACATTGCACAAACACACCACATTTGATTTATTACCCCAAACTGGCTTAATGGAATAACTCCATCAAAGATGAGAAAATTCTTCACCTTGTTGATAGCTCTTTCCACATGGATACGCAAACTAGCAATTTCTTGTGTTGCTATCACATCTTCAGCTGACATCTGATCAGACATTCCCAGGAAAGGGGGAATGTTTAAAGGGACTCCTAGGGGAAGTATGTCTTCAATCGTGAAACCCTTGTCAGCCATCACAGTGTCTCCTTTTGAAAAGGGAAGGCTCAAGAAGCCACTGTGTTCTACCATTTCCCTGTCGGATATGCTGCCAGTATATAGTTGCCCAATAAAGGTAAAAAACCCTTTTGGTGAAATTCCCACTAATGCCTTTAAAGTTGTATGGTGCTTATATGAACTAAACAGCTCACTATTTAAAAGAAGGCTACTCGGCATTTCACAACGCACTTCTGTGCAGTCAATGATTACCCTTGTGGTTGGATACTTGGCCTTAAAATCTTCTGGCATTGTCTCATTGACTAGTTCTCTGGAAGACCAGATATTTATGTTGCCAAGTTTGAAATACAAAAAATTTATCCAAGAGATAAAAATTCTACTCACAGTTGGCTGAGAGACATTAAACAAGTGAGCTAAATGCAACTCGGCAAAACCTTGCCTCAGCCTACACAATGTTAGAAAAAACTCGTCCACTGGCTTTAAGGTCCTTGGTCGTCCTTGTTTCACTGGCCTGGCAGTGCCATCGACATCTTTCCCAGACAACCAATAACTAATATTTTCACCCCTGTCACCAGGATCCAAATAGTGGTACAAGGCTATCATTGTCTGGAGGTTTGGAAATCCAGTGTAAAATGCCACCAGTGAGTCCTGTGAGGCGATGTTTTTAAATGAAAACAACCGCTCCTCAAGTTTCTCGTGTTTCTCCTCAAGATCTGTAACTTTCTCTTTCAGTTTAGAAACCAGTTCCTGTAGTTCTTCATTCTTCGCTAGAGCTGCGGAAAGCTTGTCTTCAAGGTCAGCTATCAATAAATCTTTCTCAGATTTCTCGGCAAAATGTGTCGTGTTCTGCATTTCCGCTGTTTCCGGAAAGGCCAAGTCGGCCGCCATATTTGTTGACGTTGCAATTTCACGGCTTTCGGCTGCCAAATCCGTAGCCTCACTAGCTTCTGACGTTAAATTCTTTGCCACAGATGTACTCGAGCCGTGAAGCGTGGTGTCGGCGGTGCTCGTTTTCTCGGCGAACTTCGTTTCCATGCAAATATGCTTGGCACAGTTCCTGGTTTGGGGCTAACCCTGCCGTTCAGACTTTTACGCAAATCCTCCGTCTTGAAATGTCTCGAACAAACCCGAGTTCCCTCATTTACGGAAAAATACGGCCCAACATCTCTCCTGATAGCATGGATCCATTGCTTCATAAGGTCTTCGTCTTCTGGAAAGCGAAAAAAAGAAATCTTTTCGTCCGTCTCTTTGTCTCGTTTGTCCTTCTTTGTACAGAGCGGTACACAGCAATTTGTCGGCATCTCACAACCTCTCCACGACGGATTTCGTACTTATAACGCAAAGATATCCTGTTCGGAAACTTGAAGAACCTTTTTATCCAGTTATATTCCAAAATATCCACGGTTTCAACGACGCTTCTGAGAAATTTTGATAGCATAGGCGATTTGTAATACAAGTCTAAGTGCTCTACAAGGATTCTATAGCCTACCAAGCCTCGTTTTCAAGCATTCGAAACCAGGTCGTTCCGCGCGGCCGCCATTTATGAATACGGTGGTTATAGCCCCCCTAGTAGCGAAAAGCACGAGCTTTTTTGGCGGCAAAAAAGGATTAAAGTCTAGCTTTAAATAGCTGAAATTTTTTTATTCTCGATATTTTTGACCAACTAGATGGATATAAACTAAAACAATGATTCCTCTCGCTCTCATGGTCTCTGAGTCAATAGCCCATTCAGCCTTTGGCCTCATGGGCTATTGACTCACAGCCAAGAGACGATAAAGGGGACAGAGAGGACATCCCCCATACACACTCTATTCCATAGGTAATTCGTCTCGAGTTATTTTTAGAATTGGGATAAAGTTACCTCGCACGCTACGTGGACGTTTCGTGGAGGTTTCGCATGACTAAACGCCGTGCAAAACATGTCGGGCGAAAGGTAATGAAAGCGTAAAGAGATCGAGAGCATTTCTGAATATTGAAGCGAAATGAGTCGGCGCTCACCTGGGAAAAGGGAATCGCTGGCCTCTTGGACAACCCGTGAAATCAGTTTAACTCGAAGTTGTCGTAACCTCAGTGCTTTGATAAAATGAGAAATTTCGCTGGTCTATTAAAACCGGTCGTTTGTATAATAAAGCAAGTAGGACGCCCAGTGTTATTTTTGTTGAATAATAAAAGACTAATAAAAGAATAAATATCAAACCAGAAATTTTTCTCCTCAAACTGTAAATTGTAAATTATAAATGATCCTGAGAGAATATTCAGTGTGTTAAGGATTTCCCTGCTGTACTGTTAGCTCGATACAAGAGAGGAAGGGCGATTCTTTTCTAATTTCCGTTTCGCTGACACAGCTTTAGCAGAAATCTCTCTTAAGTCGTTCTCGTCGACAAAACAAATAGCAATATCGCTCTCCGCGTCTTCCGCCAATTTTTCTGCGTCAATTCGTGAAGGACCCGTGGCTCTGAGCGTGGGTCATCCACGCGGAACACATTCGCGCTATGTGATTGGCTGTTGACTAATCCCCCTTGGGATCTATGGTCTTAAAAATAACTCGAGACGAATTACCTATGGAATAGGGTGTGTATGGGGGATGCCTTCTCTGTCCCCTTTATCATCTCTTGCTCAGAGCCCATTCGGGCTCAAGGAACAAAATCGCTGTCGTGAACTGGGTGTTTTGCCAAAGTTTCATAGTAAAGTCTTTTTGGAATTACACGAATATCCAGGTGCTGATGACTTTGAAGGCGATTAAGAATGGCGTTTAAACAGCGTGATCTATTGTGAAGCGGTTTACTGTAGCTGACTTTTTGTACGCTTGAAGCTATGTTTGCCACTACAGAGGAAAACGAGGCCGCTTTGTTACTGTTTTGTGATTCCGGGATTTGCTCGCTAGACCAATTTTGTCGATGAATAGAAGTTAATTTATGGAAAAAAGAGGAGGGCAAATATTTTCGAAAACTGTACGTGCCAGCAAGTTAACAAGGCAAAGAACATTAGAGATAGTAAACAACACTCTCCTTGATCGTAGCCGCTGTTGACAGCATTTGCAAAAAGCGAAAAGAAAACTTTCTCATTCACGGTGAGCTGACAGAAACAAATAAAGCTCTTACTACTTTTCTTCTCAGAATTGGGTAGTAATATAAATTTTCGGCGTTTATTTTAAACCGTTGATGCTAAAGCTTACAAAACTCGATACAAAAAGATTAAAACTATAATTTGGCATTTTTGACGATACTGTTAAGATCTAACTTTTGCGCATC